AATACAAAATGAATATGTCAAATATAAAGAACTGAATAATTGAATAAATAGTGGGCAGATCAATACTTGACAGGGTCAGCAACTAGTGCCAACCAATTGTCACTTTACTTGTACCTTATAATAGCTGGATATCACAGTAGTGAACAGTCTGCCATTACAAGTGTGATAATGACACATTGCAAAGTCCTAAATCATTACACTTTTTTGACTTAACATCAAAAGATATTCACTACTGAATGCTTTGAACACACTTGCCACTCCATGGCCCACAAAAATAAGACCAATGACAAGGTCCCTGCAGGGACAGGTGATGCTGCTGACAACAGCAGCAGCACTTTTACTGTGGCTGCAGGATGATAGGTCTGACTTGGAGTCTACAGTGCAGTAGCTCCATTAAATGAGAGCAGAGATATGCAATACAGCTGGTGAGTCATAAGCTGTTCTAAAGTATATTCACACTGATCCCTGTGTTATTTAGTATCAGTCACTTGAAAGGATCTTAATTTCATCATATGCAATACCCCAATGGTCTCATGAGGCAAGGCTGGGTATAAGGTGAACAGGTAGGGGTGACAATCATCAGGAAACCTGGCAAGTTGTACATAAACTATATAGTGCTATATAGCATTCCTAGCATAAATGCTTGTTCTACAACTGCTATAGGACACTATTAATGCTATGATAGTGCTATATAGCTTATGTACACTTGCCAGGTTTCCTGACGATGTGTTTATTATGATGCTCTATGTATAATAATTATCTCAAATACATTATTTATTCAAGTATATATGAAAAAGCAGCGAAATATAAATAAGATGAAGTGTAGGATATGGGCAGCCGTGTATGGAGATCGCAGACTTCGGAATGGGCCAATGCAAAAGTTTTTCTTTGGAGAACAAAGGGGACTGGAAAAACCCCGATTGCATTGGCGAGCATACAATCCAAATTTGCTCTCCAGTCCAAATTGATTTGCGCTCCGGGTCTAACTCCCATAGTGGACTTAGGTTTGCGCTTATCCCCTGACGGTGTAGTTCGGATTGATTCAGTCTATAAATGGTTCAGTTCACGAGTTGAATGGGTTGGGGTTGTGGTTTGGATGTGATAGAGATGGCTGGGGACGGAGATAACGCTTAGACCGGACTGCGCCGAACTAGCGGCAACACTACCTGAATAATCATATCACTCAAATCAGCCAGCCAGCCGTATATTTCAAGTGAGTGGGTTCTAAAGCCAAGATGGCAACCGATTACTTGTTTTCCTCTGCAAGCTTTCGTTGCATGTGGTGATCTTCCAGGCTCTCTACCATTGACCCAACTAGTATAGCGACACCTCAAATTTAATTCCCGTAAATATGTCACCTGCAGAAATCAAGGACGACATGCTCGCAGAATTTGTGCAAGATCGTACGTCTTTTGTGAAAGCGTCACAGTTAATCTTATCTCCATAATTCGTTGACAGCTGCGTATGCAAGGTGTACCAGTGCGGCCTCTCTGGCACTTGTACTCTATGATCATAGTATGTCTCTTTGAAATATTGTATGTGTGACATCGTTCTCATTAGACTCCAAGCTATTACTATCACCACGGAGGTATTCATCATCCTGTAGATTTTCAAAAAGAATTAAATTTGACCCGAAATATAAGATCCGATATATGTGGAAAAGGGAGGGCACATTGGGAACTTGTCTCTATCTGTTGGTAAGTATATCATGGTCGTGCCAGCACTCCTTAGCGTTAGGTCCTAATGATTATTTATGCACCGCAGTTACGTTACTTGGGTATTTTGACGACAGGCGTACACGTCATAGGTTAGAAGACAAGTCAAAATAGTACTGGAATTCTTAATTGACGATCTTGGTTACATCAGTGCTGTTTAGACTTGATCTAACCCCTGAAGTATGTCCCAACCCTGGTCTTCTAATATTTCCCTGACACGCCACGTTTATCCAGTTGCGAGTTGCTTACTTTACTCACGTGAAATGTCCTTCATATTCAGTATTTATAGCTGCCATGGCTATCTCTACGCTCAGGGAATCCTGTAAGATATCCTTTTACTTCCTTTACTCGTATGACTTCTCAGATTAATACTGCCTTTTCTAGAATAGAATCTGTCATATCTCTAAGCCAAAGTGGGTAAAACCTGAATCTGATCTTTCAAGTTGGAATTTCCAACTATACTAATATCTATCCTTAAATAAGTTACTCTAATCATCAGAGTAAGCATTGACATAATACTGTATCACAAGTTTATAATTAACTACCATTCATGTAGCTGTATGCTGTCTACAATCGTTCCAGATACATCCTATTATTTTTCACCGCGATCGGCTTCAGTTCCACTATCATAACCCTTTGGATATGGTTTGCCATTTTGTTAGGAGGTACATATTTGCCATTTTAAGAGAATAATATTCTAACCTAAAGTAAATACGAATCGACAGGTTCCTTCCAGACTTCTGACGAAATCAATGGCTGCTTCCGTGTGAAATCCCTACCTCTATTGCCCTTTATTACACTCCCACATATTGTCGACCAGTTTATTCTGTGCGGGCTCATGGTGCGCAAGGCATGGGAAGCGTACCGGTATCCAAGAGGTATTTGGCTGTTGCGGAGTCTGATAAAGGATAGGTGGGGACTCTTTCCAACCGGCGTTAAACTACTTAAAGACTGAACATCATGATGATTTATAGTGTACTTTATTTTTTAAGGTAAGCTTCGCTTTCGAATTTGGTCAACTAAAATATCTTGATTGAAGGGACCAGCATTTTAGCCGTCCTTATTGTGACTACTATTATACTTAAATTTACCAAGGAACCCTCAGCTATATCCAGTGGAATCGAGTAAGAGGATGTTTATTTGTTTGAAGAACACGACATGATAACCATGTTTGTTTCCGCATAATTTAGATCGATACCAGCGGTGGTTTCTGTGCTCGGTAGTCGTTTACTCCTGAATATTCGTCTCAACTGCGAGGAGAGACTGATCCAGTCTCGCCCATTACCAGTTGTGATCTCCCATACAACAGTGCGTCTTCATTGTCATTCTTATACCTTCGTGGATTCATTGCCAATTTAGAGCACGAGGCGACATCTCTCACAATAATTAGGTCCTACTAGTCAGGAAATATTGTATCAGTAAACCTCCTCTCTGTTTCACGGAGTGTACCATTTATTATTATTATATATATGTCATGTATCGTAGAATACCCAACCTTTAACTATATGTTTAGGCCAAGTTCAAGGTATGTAACTCTTCGAATTCCTCTGACGGGCCTTGAGTGCTCACTCACGGGAAAACAGTTTCGCCAGAAACGTACCTTCCATCGTTGCTGTCTGCGGGCTTGGTGCCTCTCAATATATCTCATCACAGCTCGAATACGTTAAAAAGCAGCGGTCTACACCAGTATCGATAGATTCACTGGTCCGGAGGACGTCTAACCAAAAACACCACAAAAAGCTGCTTAGCATTAAACTATTATAAGAAGAATATCCAAAAACTAACGCCGGCCAACGCAACAACAAAGGAACCCGCCCCCGAAGAAGGGCCGAAGGGGAAGCCTTTGAGATTCTATCTCAGTTAATTTTCCGTTCATAATCACGACTTGCCAGGTATTTCGGAGTCTTGATGGCTTACTCAAATTGAAATTGACGTGAGAGAGACGGATAGGGAAGAAATGACTTCAATGATTATAGACACTCCTCTCAGGATCGCATTCAAGTAATTTCAAAGTCAATCTAGACTCAAAGAGTTATCTCATCAATCTGGCAGTAGACTGCACGGAAGAACTGAAGACCTCCATAGCAGTCATCATGTATAATTGCATATATGATATAGTTACCTTCACCTGCCGGTGAAGCTTGAGGCGTCCCTCCGAGTCCGAGATCGCATGTTACTCAGTAGTCCACGAGACTGATAAAAGTGTTATCTAGTCACTCTACTGGATTCCAATCAGACAGTTTGAAATTTCTAATATTCAGATATAGTCAGATATAGACTCAGTAGTCCACGAGACTGATAAAATTGTTATCTAGTCACTCCACTGGATTCCAATCAGACAGTTTGAAATTTTAGTTTTCAGATATAGTGATGTCCCCAACGAGGGTTGGCACTCATGCGAGGGTATAAAGGCCACTGTTCCGCCTTACCTTAAACCCATCTCCAGTCTCACAAACCAGCTAGTGCGACTTAAACCACAATGAAACTGGCCTCCGCCCTCCTCCCCGTTCTTGCATTGCTCTTCGTCGGTGTCACCGCCACCCCCGAACCTGCTCCCACAGTGGATTATGCTGCCTTGAGAGCTCGTGTACGCATTGCCATCCTAAATCGTTCAGAAATATTCTCAACAAATATAATAGCACTTCCCTAACGGAATTACCAAACGTGCCGAGGACGTACACGAGAGGTTCGCAGAACGTACGTATGCCTCTAAATCCTATTTTGTCTCCTTCGTCATACCACTTCCATTCGTTCTCTGCGAATTTAATATAATTTAATTAAAATGACAGTTGACATTCGTCTAACTACGGGCGAACACCTCATCGGACGCGACATGAGTCCTGCGGAGGCCGCGCAGCTTTTCGCAAAGAGGTGTTGCGCTGTTAGAAACGGGTGAGTTTTTCTTTTCTTTATGTGTTTTTTTTTGGTTTAACTGATCGAGAATATCATATCAAAGATGTTGTAATGGGTGTTGTTAGTTTCCGTGGTTCAATAGGATGGAGTTAGAGGGACCTTACGGACATGAGCAGTTATTGGAGTTTGGGCTATTCCACTGGCATTGAGGACCTTCCATGGCCCCTTCCAATAGCAGTCGAGAAATTAGTCCTGTAAATAAAATCCTGTAAACAAATACATGTCATATAAACTCCCATATTAAATATTAGCGCCCATCGAACGCCCTCATCAATTATTAAATACTTACCGCCAGCATAATCGCCAATTTCCCATTGGTTATAAAACGAGTCCCTACGTACCTGATGGAACGGTGCTGAAGCTATCACAAGTACTGGGGTGGGGTAGTGGTAACCTGCATGCTTCCCAATGCGGAGTTCTGCAGTATATTAGCATGCGCGCCGGGTTCGATTCCCGGTCCTAGTATACTTTTTCGACTCTTTTGTGATCTTTTGGTCCTGAATTATGGTCTAATGAAAAATTTTACCATGTAATGTCGATCAATGTCGATCATGAGTATAAATTGGCATGCATGAATGGATTTCATTAAAAACATGGTTCTATGCGTCAATGTATGCGTGGTATAGATACAGAGTTAACACTTGGAGGACGTAACAAAAACCTTATTAAGAATACAATAAGAGCAAACGGCAGAAACGCATCAAATACGAAGTTCACGTGTATCACACCTTACACCCTATTTTCCACCCTCTCCCTCTCCGCAACCTGGGCTTCCTCCTTATTCTGCTTAATCGCCGCCTCTTCATTATTCTGCCTAATCCTCTCCTCCGCCTCGCCCTCCTTCCCCTCCTTAATATGCAAACTAACCTCCCTATGCACAAGCTGCGGCGCACTCTCCCACTCTCTCCTCTCCCTAGCCAGCTCTTTCCTCGACCACCAAACCGTCACTGGGGTCCACACAAACGCCCAAATCCACGGCACACCAAACCCAATTCCATACCCCACATCTTGCGCTGTCGTCCAAGCAATCGCAATCAACGCTCCAGCAATCAACGTGCCTCCGAATCCCCAAAACAGTGCCATGTCGCGGAGGAGTTTACGCATGACGGTAGACGCTTCGTAGCGTTCGCGCCAGGCGTGACGGAATTGGAGGCCGCCTCCGCCGTCGACGGCGACGATGTCTTCGACGTAGGTATATGTTAGAGGTGGGAGGGGTTCGTAGGACGGTAAGGAGGAGACGCGGAAGGGCATGCGGATGCGGTGCGGGAAGAGACCGGTGAGGAGGAGGGGCAAACAGATGGTTATCATGAGGCAAGGGAGGGCCATCGCGACTGCTGGAGGGGAAGCTGGGGTTCTGTAGGTGATAAGATAGTATGTTAGGCGGGATTATGCGCGATGGATGAAGATAAAATACGTACATGGATGAACCGATGATGAGCGGGACGAAGAATCCACCGAGGCCGATGCTTATTAGGATTCTAGAGGAGAGAGAACGCGTTAGGATACGGTAGGACAGTGTGTTAAAGGATAAGATAGGATACGCACTGAGACATATCGACGCCCCATCTCCCTGAACCAATAGGGCGGTACTCATATCCGTTCTTTGCGAACCACATATACCACATCCGTAGACCGAATTTGTGCCCCGAGAACGTCCCTACGAATGCTGTGATAATCGCCAAGTTCACAGTGACGGATAGATGTGCGCCGAGTTTAAGCGCGTAGAAGAGGATGAGGGGAAGAATCCCTGCTTCGATGAAGATGAGCACTGAGAAGATGATTATTCGCAGGCGGCGTTTTGGTGTGTGGACGGTGTAGTTGAGGGGTGGAAGTGCCGTCCCTGTATTGCCTGAGCGGAACGTGTCGTCTGAGTTGCGCCATGAGGATGAGGAGGCAGCATTACTATTCGTGTTCATGCTCGTATTAGGAGTATTCTTCTCGTTCGCATTCATGTTCACGTCGGGATTTGCATTGTTAGGACCCGCCGTCGCTGGATCCTGTCTCGAATGTTTTGGGTGCGGGAACCGCATACGGAGTTATAGATATGAAAATGAGGGTGTAAGGGAGTCGTGGAAAGACAGAATGCACTGGGGCATCGTCCATATTTTGTATTACTTTCGGATGAAGAGGCGGGGCGGAGCCTATGACGCAAGATGTGAGTCGGAGCAGTGGGACGGATGCCTAAAATAGGAGACGCGTCATTTTGGCTGTTAAAGCGGTGTTTTGGAGCTAAAAGAAGATATGTATGTTGAAATAAGAACTGTTCGCAGTGGAGTTCTTGTCGCGGCGCTGCGGAGGTCGACAAGCAGGCAGCAGATTGGAAGTGGAACCAATTTCGTTGGACAGCAGCTGCCAAGGGGGCTTACATGGCTCATTGGCGCCCGCGTGCATTCCCCTCCTTCGAGTAATTGATAGTGCTATATCTTGGCTATATCTCTTCCTATTTGATATGTGCGTTTTCGTTTTAATTTAGGCAGTTTATTTCAACTCGCTTTGGATCCAGAAGACGGTGGAACACCAACCAGAAGGCTGGTCGAACCACGCGTGGACGCGCGGGATTTAAGATGTTGCGCCGGCGGTCGCATCTTCTCCCACTCATTTTTTCTTCCAACGCCTTCGAAACACACTACTCCTGAAGCTGGGGAAGTTCTAAAGCTTCCCAAACCAACTTTGCTATAGAAGTGGTTTGCTACTTACGGGAAATTTCGGCTTCAGGTTTGTTGACTGCGTGAAAGGTAAGCAGCGTCTACAATTTAGCTTATTTAGAAGTAATTGAGGGCTATAGAACCGAGGCTTAAACGGGACGAAAACAAAACAAAATGCTCTGAGGGAGCTCGGTGGGCGAGCAAGAACTGTCCGTCGTTGCTCACCATTAACGTCCGCTAACGTTCAACAGTGAAGGACGACGAAGAACTCGAATGGTTCATAATTTTCTATCTGACAGACGAAAGCGAATTTTGTTTAGTTTTTTATGTTACCACACACGTATTCGAATCTCGGCCAATAATTCTGAAACGGCCTATTGAAATAATATATCGGAAACCCAAGCCTGCTCTGGATTGAAGCTCCTCGATCATCGTCTCCGACGAACAAACATGGGAATACTATTCTATTCGAATTTCTCTAGGATAGTAAGTATGTATATTAAATCTAGTATTCATCTCTCTACTAATAACTACAGACAAATCGCGAATATTTAAAGCAGCGTGCTCTGCTTCCACCGCTAACTATCTATATACCCGTCACGGGAACAGTGTTCCTGTGAGAATGGCGTCGAATATACGCATGGTACCCCACCATACCCCCCGTTGCATTTTTATGAGACGAAGGCCTCTGCGTTGTGCATGTTTAATTCGTGCTCCTGTAGACAGGCATGTTTGCTGTCGAGTATACCTATGCCACTATGTTGGTATGAGACTGTGGCTCGGCACCACACCTGTATAGACTGTTTCTACGGCGCCGTAATACGGGACTCGCAACCGTTCCGTCGGGCTACTTCGCAGATTTGGCCGTACTTAGGCTCCTGCAAAAGATCCATCAAGACGGTTTTATTCCCGGCTGTTGTCCGACCATCGCAAGTGGAACCTTTCGACAAGTACTAACGATTCAACGGGACGATAAGACATACGAATACGATGAATATCCCGGATTGAATCCAAGTTTTCAAGCTCTTCAGGTCCGTGTTCTCTCGGATCTCTCGAAGTAAGATATATTATGGGAAAAGCTGACGAGAAGGAGATACCACGAGATGGTTATCCGTAATTACTAATGCCTAATACTGACTCTCCCGATACCAACTACATCGCGCGTTCAGCATCTACAGAGAAACTCTCCGGTGAGGTCGCAACAATGCGCTGCGTACGTGCACCCGCAACTATTCTCTTTCCCGAGGTCTACATGATTGAGATTTATCCGGATAACGACATTGGGATGCAATTCATGGTCAGGCAATATATGGAAGGGCAATCCGTCTATCGATGGGATGATCTTAGCACTGAACGTCAGAAAGCCGTGCTTGACGTTTGGTTTGACAGGATCGCGGCAGTTCTTGCGCAGCTATTTAATGGTTATTTCAAATTTAACTCCATCGGTCTTCGGGAAGTCGATCGTCCACTCAACTGGAAGGAAGAAAACGGTATAGACACTATTCGCGTTCTCACCAAGGGTCCGTTCACGTTGGCTTTGGTGTATCTAGACTCCTTCGTCTGTGATCTCCAGACAAATCCCAACGTCACCAATCTCCTAGGCCCTACCTTGGGTTTATCACCACAATCTTATAGTCATTGCGCCTCATACATGCCGACTTCAATACCAAAAATATCCTATCCACGCTTACGACGGCCTGGCTCCCTCGTTTAGCTGTTTAATATATTGGGAATTCGCTTATTTCCCCCTGTATTTCCTCTACGAATTGGATAACAAGATGAACAAATTCCAGCCTAAACATTGTACAAAGACGGAGTGGGTCTGCAGCTCAAGCAATCATAAGAATCACTCCCCCTCGGAGTCTCGTCAGTTATGGCCCGTGGTATGCGGGGTATGCAAGTCCCCTCCTTCCCCTGAACGTTGTGCTATGTGCAATACCCTGAACCCTAGCAAACCTAAAGTATGTTTCCACTTCCCTTCTTTGCCAATATCATGTAACGATCATTACCAGTAACTCGACAGTTCCTAATATCTCGGCGTTGCTCGCATTCATGACAAAGAGTGTAGCGATTTGTAAGAAATAAAAGATTGCGGACCATATCTGTTTTATGCTCAACTTCTTATACTTCCTTGATACCCTGAGTCCCGTTGTGCCAAGGAATGTTGGATGATGTTGGTGAGTTAGACTTCTATTATTCATATTCAGGTCATTGAATTATCACGCGTGGTCATCCTTCTCAGTCTGTCGGTCGCACAACTGCTACGCCTGGCCAGCCGGCGAAGTTTCTCGCACATATGCCGACATTTGAGACTGTACGCATAGGGTATTGCGCAAATCTGAGCTGAATTTGAGTAAGTAATTGTGCGTAGAATACTTAGATTACTTATTGTGTGTTGGAGCCGTAAGCTCTCCCTTCAGTGGAGCCATCCTGTAGTTAGCTTTCATGCCACATAGGTGCAACAGCTTTCCGTTACGACAGGCTTCAGCCACGGCCCCCTACGGGTTTCCATCTCCAGTACCATATATACTTATGTAAGCTTTAAGATTGGTAAGTAAGTAAAAGAAATTGACTGTCACGGTTAATAGATAATACCTATCACATGAGAACTGAAGAGGATGAGAGGGCATGAGACAGTACTTGTGAGGGAGGACTCGGAGCGAAGCTTCAATGCTGAGAGGTCGCGTCTCGGCGCTTCGCAATATTGATCAAAATCAACGTCTCCCATTTGAATCATAGATTCATACCCAATATGAAACCATTGGACACTGTACCGTCTTACGGCCGAAACTGCTAGGTTCGTACCAAGTCGTCTTCCCC